TTGGAATGAATGCATTTGAGGAGAACTTGTCGGTGGCACAACGGAACATAATGATGATTGAATTGTGAGCGTAGCTGACCATTTGAGTTGCGGAGATAGTAGAGAGAGTGTTGGAGGAGAGAAGTGTCCCATAATGATTTGTTCAGTGTTAACAGCATGTGGACCACTCTCCCCCTCATGACGATCCGATGAATCGGGACTTCATGCTTTTATTCTTTTATTCTGCGGAAATAAAATAGGAAACAAACAGAAAGAGTAAATGATAAAAGGACCCCGGGATCGTGTAGACACCCATTTTCATCACTATAGAGATAAACTCTAAAGCAATGGCCTGAAAATGTTGGTGATTCTTATGTTGCAACAGCATGACTTCCTTCCAATCATTAGTCTACATCTGCAATAGATGAGACCTATGGAAGTTCTCGCGGGTCTTTGAAGACCTGCAACTGACTCAAAAAGTGCGTCGGTGTCCTAGAAAATTCAAAACATTTGGGATTGAGGTAACTAGACACGACGTGATCAATGAAAGTTCAGTGACATGGGGCTGAGGCCACTGTAGTCAGTATTACTTACCTCGGAAGGAGACAGTAATGAGAGATGCGGTTCCCCGTGAAGTATGATTAAACACCTGTCTGTTGGGAGACAAGTGAGTGGTCTTGGGTAGGGTTCAACGTGCACTGTTGGACAAGATGCAGTGACTTCTACTCGGGATCTGATTAAATCAGTCCTGAACCTATTTGGGAATTGTCCAGAGTATTTGAGTGGCTAGGAGTAAATGTTCAATTCATAGCAGGCAGTTGAGGTAGCAGACTCATCATTGATTATTGTTTTTCTTCTCACTTGAGCCTTCTGCTTCCTAACGCTCATAATGTTCACTCACTCACTCGCTCACTCACTCACTTACGCTCGGCTTTGTCCCTTGGGTAGGCTTAGTTGAGTTTACTAAGCCATAGGGACATGTTCTCTCATTACATTGTTCATTTTCTCTTTGTACTCCCCCTCAACTGGAGCACTCGGTATGCTTTGTCATTGTTAGGTACCGGGAAGGATAAGATTGAACACTCCCCCTAAAATGTTGCATCCTTTGAGAGATTCCTTGCTTTGTCGGTGTAAGGCGCCAGGAGGAGAAAACTGAAACTCCCCCTCAGAATGTGCAAGGTTTGATTGCTCACAGCTTGTCATACTCGCCATGTGTGTGGAGCAATCTCAACAAGTACCACACATGACAGTTCCCTGAGCTCATCATGTAGAATTTCAGCATATTGATGATCACAAAATGTTGATGAGTCAGGGGAGGCTTCAGTGGTTGATTGTTGATTGTTGTTAGATGACCGTTGACGCGAGGTTGATTGAATTATCTACGATTTTCGGACCTTTACAGTGGAGTATAGAAAATTTTTGACCCCAAGGTTGACATTGAAAGAATTTGAACAGATTTGCCTAAGTTTTGACCTGAACATCGGTGATTTACAATGTTTGTCGAAAAACTAACGTTTTGACCCTCAAGGACTGAGAGTGAGGGCGCGTGAGAATGGGTTCTGGGGCATAGACCGATCATTAATGTAGATCTTTTCGTTATCTTTCCAACAAAAAAAGGTTTGCTCAAATCGAATCACCGAGTCAAAAGTTATGGCCAAAACAGTGCGGTGTCGCAGAAAATCTCTAATTTTGAGTTTTTGAGGAATTTCTTCGAAGTTGAGGTTCTCGATGTTGAAAATCGAAATCAGGTGGAATTAGAGAAAATTCTAAGGCAAAACCTCGAAATCCTAATCTCGAGGTTTAAATCTTGAGATTACAATCTAGAGGTTGCCTCGAAGAATAATGGCGAAATCCACCTGCAAAACAAACCTCAGAATATCGAAATCTGCAGAATTTCAAAATGTTTGGAACATCGAAAACTTTGGAGTTTCGAAAACATTAGAAAATCGAAAACTTGCTGTTTGAAAAACATCAGAACATCGAAAAATTCTAAAAACTTTGAAAGACAGAGATTCATTCAGATATCTAAAAATGTAAAGCTTCGAAGTGTTCTGAACAGGAAAGATATCAAGTTTAGAAGAAATCAGTGATTCAAGAAATTCCAAACTTTGAAAAATTCAAAACATCGAGAAATTTTGAAAATCTCGAAATCTTCAGGATGTCGAGATCCAAAACATCGAGATCCCAAATGTCGAAATTCCAAAACTCGAAATTCCAAAACTCGAAATTCCAAAAACTCGAGATGTCAAACTCGAGATGTCAAAACTCGAGATGTCAAAACTCGAGATGACAAAACTCGAGATGTCAAAACTCGAGATGTCAAAACTCGAGATGACAAATCTCGAGATGACAAAACTCGAGATGACAAAAGTCGAGATGTCAAATCTCGAGATTTCAAAAGTCGAGAAGAGGAAATCGAGTCCCTAAATGTCGAGATCCTGCAAAATGAAAACATCGATTTTTGAAAATTTGAAACCTGTTCTGAAAAGCCCTGAAGGTCGAGATTCTCCTGTATCAGTTTCAAGCCAAAAACGTTTCTGCAGCAGTGAAAAATAAGGATTTCGAGATCTCAATGTAGAGATCTTCGAAATATAAAAATTGCAGAAAACGAAAAAAGGTGTGTTGCTGGATCGGTTTTGAAAGGCGAGTCCAACACTATGATTTTCCCAAAATTTCGTTCACAAACAAGATTACAGGAGCAAATCTCTACATATAGAAAAACAGAAGAAAAGCAGAGCAGTTCTTCGTTAGATCCAAAAAAATCGCAGATAGATCCAACCTGTTTCACACCTCAGCTCTCATACCAACTGTTAAACCCAGATATTTAACAATCAAACAATCTAAGCAGTTAAAGAAGAAGCAGATACGAAGATATCGACAAGATTAAAACCGAATCTGGTATACCGTATGAACTGGCCGCTGCTCTCCCCGGAGAAGGAGAACAGCGGCAACCCTAATCTCTCTATCTCGCCTCTGCGTCTCTAAAGCCTCTCTTCGATAGTTTTGGGTTCCCGTAAGTTAGCCTCCTTTTATAGGAGAAGTTAGCTAACTTACGGGTTACAAGGAAGCCCCCGGGCTGATACACATTTGTGACCCGTATTACACGTTTAATTGATAACTACACAAATACAAAGATAACTAACTAGATTGAACACCATAAAATATTCCCAACACCTAAAACCTGGGGGACTGAGGGACTGCCCTCGGAAAACAATGCAGACGAAGGACTCACAACTCCACAAACTACAAAGCAAAACGCCAACATCAGAGGACAAACACATTTTACTCCTTTTCCTTCAAGTACCTTTCGGCAAAAGGAGTGAGGGACTCCTGATGGAGTATATGGCCCAGGAACCCCCGGTCCATAGACTCCCACTATTCTAATGCAGGTCCAACAGGCCCAGGAAGCACAGCAGGCCCAAATCACAGCACCCCAAGCGCCAAACAGCCCACGACGAACACTGGGGTGCCTTCGCCCCCCCGACCGAAGGCTCATCAACTTACAGTACAACTGATTTTAAGCACTCAAAGTGTCTGGGAGAAAGCGGCGAAAACAGTAGCCCTCGGTATCTAGAGCCCTCGGCACCTAGAGGCCCCCGGGATTAGGGATGGACTGAGTCGGGCCGAACCGGCCCAGAACCGGCCCGACCCGCTACTATGCGGGCCTGGACCGGACCGGGCCCGGTTGGCCGGTTCCGGGCTTTTAGCCCGTGTGGGCGGGTCAGGCGGGCCGGCCTCGGGCCCAGTTTTGGGCGAACCGGCCCGGGTCATTTTTTTCAATTTTTTTCTTTTCCTAGGGTTGGACTGGGTGTTTTGGGGAGGTTTGGGGGGTGGGGGTGAGGGGGGGGGGGTCGGGGATAACAAGAAAGCAAAAAAAAATAAGTATTGAACCAGGCCCGGCCCGGTTAGGCCCGGACCCGGTAGCAACCCGAGCCGGTTAGGCGCGGACCCGGTAGCAACCCGGGCCGGTTCCGGGCCCAAGGTAATTGCAAAAAAAGCCCACCCGGGCCCGACCCGGAACCGGAACCGGCCCGGCCCGGGTCCATCCCTACCCGGGATGAAGAGCCTTCGACCAATCATCTACGGCCGAAGACACCTCCTCGACAGAATCTCCCACCCACATGCGTTGGATCAACGTAACGAGTACAAACGTCACATCCACCCACGTGCAAGAGGATTGGGGAAAAATATGGGGATTTTGGCATTGCGGTGCAAATCTGGATGTCGGTGGCCTGTGGCGGCAATGAGCAGTGGGCTAGGTACCTGCAGGGTGTATTTTTGCCCGATCACCACTCATACAGTATTTTGTAATATTCAAACTACTACTCATATTTTGTCCTTTTGTCATGTTTTAGTCATTGTTATAGTTTGAGATATAGACTATAGAGGCAATTAGGGTGAGCTTAATATAGAGGATCAAAGCATTCAATCTCCCTCTCCTTCTTTAATCATTTTCACTGATATTTAATCAAACAAACACTGCTTAAGGACTTTGTGTTGGACTTTTATGTTAGAAGATTAAACTCAATATTTAACTTTTTATTTTTATTTTTCCATTCAAATACGCCAGATTATGTTAATGTTTTATAATTTCACATTATCTAAAGAACTGTATAATTATATAATCTCTGTTTATATTTTCTAAAGTAATTATATTACCTAATACTCTGTATGATTATAAACGAAATGCTTCTTAAAAGTTAGGATTTTTCAAATCTTAGGATGGTTTTTAATTTCTGATCTGATTTATTTTGGTCTAATCTGGTCAAAAGTGATATGATAGATTTTGTTTAGTGTTTATTTCACGACTTTTAAAATCTGATCTAGTCTAATATGTTTGGAACTGAACGCCACTTGATCTGTTTAAATCTGATTTATTTAGATTTCTTGTGATTAAATCTCGGATTGAAAGTGATCCAACTAAACCGAGCATTGATTGAAAAAACTCAAGATTGGTGTAGAATAAAATACCGGTGGGCGTAGTTCAACTGGTAGCAAGGGAGTGCCACAAGGGTTAGGTCCCGAGTTCGAATCCCGGCAACTGTGATAAGGGGTTACTATGCTAAAAATGCATAGGGGCTCTGCAAATACCGGGGACAAAACCACACGCTCTATCTGTCAGATTGAGATTATAGTCCAATTTACGTCCTTTTTTGATCTAGAATAAAATACCGAGTATTCCGGATAATAGTACACTCATCAGTGATACAAACCGATATGGCAACATCGGACTGAGTTTAGTGCACCGACGAAATGTGTTTCTGTTCTTGTTGTGGGCCCCTCAACCCAAAAGACACGCGTGCTGACTTCTGATTGGGTGGAATATTGAAACCCCATAACGTGGTTTACATCTACGCAAACGCGTTCCCATCGAAAGGGGATACTAGGGAAGCAAAATCAAGAACCCCTCTGGAAGTAAATCATCAGTGTACTCCGCATCTAGGATTGTTTGCGTCTGCCAAAAGGACTGTGAAAGCGCGAGCTTGATGTTGATGATCGACATGAGATTTTGAGCAATATTCACTTCTCCTTTTATTCACTGATCTCCTTTTCTTGGCCCCTGAACAATCATTATTGATTGAAGAAAAGTGAAGCTTGAAGACGCGGGAAGGAGGAGAGCTTTTCCTCGATCCGTTCACGCCACTGGTATGCGATTTGGTCCTTTATTCATATTACTTTTCTACCCAAACGTCGAAATCTGGTCTTTTTTAACCTGATATGCTTGATTCTTTGCGTTTGTCATTGAAAATGTTTAAATTGGGTTGTGGGTTTCGATAAAGATTGGTTCTTGGATAACCTACTCTGCTTATCTGGTACTCCGTATAATTCAAGCGGCGTGTCTTTCTTTGCTTTTTCTTTGTTGTACTCTATACAGAAGAGTGACTCTTTAAAGTTTCCTCACTTGGAAATCCATATTATGTCTGAATCTGGCTGGGAGTTTAGCATTTATTATACATGTGTGATTGTTTCATTAACATAATCTATTCTACCGTTTTATATGGAAAGCAACAAGTAGTTTATCTGATTGGTGGCCGAGTGAGGATATAATAGTCGTATCCCCCTTGATCTGGCTTTTGTATGGTTCTCATAGTGATGGGATCTGCTGTAGTTTGATTCTGATCCTTTGTTCACTATTGATAGATCATTTTCGTGGCGCCATAAGCTGAGGTTGAAATCTGGAATATGCTATTCATACTTTGAAATCTAGCATAGAGGCACCATAATTGTTTTCAAGAGCTTTTATTTTATGGAAGATGAGAGACTCTCATGTACATATAGATCTCTTAAGTCTTTAGTGGTAGTTAGCACTGTGTTCTCTTTTGATATTCTTGTGCTGGACTTGTGGTACGCTATTTTATCAGAGAACATGTATGGCATTTTGTGTGTCGAAGTGGGAAATAGTTATGCTGACTTCACATGGAATGCGTTGTATCCATAGTCTTTGTTAATTCAATAGCTCCCTACTAGATAGGTTTCCTTTAATGCCAATTTTTCCATTGTGGTGGTAGGGCACTTAATATTGACTTGCTAAATAAATGAGGAAACTCTTTCAGGATTAAAATGGCAAGCAAATCAGCATTGGCGGATAATCGGACTAGAAGATCCGTGTCAATATTCATTGTTGCTGGTCTATGTTGTTTCTTCTATTTACTAGGGGTGTGGCAAAGAAGTGGGTTTGGTAAGGGAGATAGCATAGCCCAGGAGGTGACCAGGTCCACCACTGACTGCAATGCATTGACGAACCTCAACTTTGAGACCCATCACGAAGGTCAACCAGGAAGTGTTGATGACTCAAAGCCTAAGGAAGAAATCAAACCTTGTCATCCTCGTTACACTGATTACACCCCATGTCAAGATCAAAATCGTGCCATGACTTTCCCAAGGGAAAACATGATATACCGAGAAAGGCATTGCCCTCCCCAAGAAGAGAAGCTGCACTGTCTTATTCCTGCACCTGAAGGGTACGTGACCCCGTTTCCGTGGCCAAAGAGTCGTGACTATGTTCCTTATGCCAACGCACCTTACAAGAGCTTGACTGTTGAAAAGGCAATTCAAAACTGGATTCAGTACGAGGGGAATGTGTTTCGATTCCCGGGAGGTGGGACCCAGTTCCCTCAAGGAGCTGATAAGTATATCGATCAGCTTGCTTCAGTTATCCCGATTGAGAATGGTACTGTTCGGACTGCATTGGACACTGGTTGTGGGGTATGTTTCTTGTATAACTTGATTAGTTCTAGGCAATGACATCTGTCTTCAACATTTTAAAGGGAGGTTACTTTTTTCACTCGAGTGCTCATACTAATCAATAAAACACTGGACCCCAGTACCCCCCTTCAAAGGGGAGAGCCTATTTGGGATGCTGGTTCTGTAAGTGCTTTCTAAGAAGTATTTTTTCATTTAATAATTAAAAGTGTGTCTTTTAAAGCTTGAATATGGAGCTTTCTTAGATTATCACAAAAAAGTGCTTTGTAGAATTAACAACACTTTGGTTACTGTAATGCTCAAAGTTTCTTTTTGTTAGCCGACCCCAAAGTTTCTTTTTGTTAGCCGACCTCAACGTTTCTTTTTGTTAGCCGACCCCAAAGTTTCGATTCATGTTAGCTGACCCCAAAATCTTTTGGAAGTAAGGCTTGGATGTTGTTGTTGTTGCCCAAAGTTTCCTTTTAAACTAAAATTACCTTTCATCCCAGAAAAATTACATTATCTTCGAACAAGTGATCCAATTGCTCCTTTGAAGCCATAGAACAGATGTTATGTTGCTAAAATTGTCCATAAAAGTTCCCTAGACTTTATGCTTAATATTTTTTAAGTATCTCCTGTTGTTTGAGATTCAAATATTTACACAGGTTGCAAGTTGGGGTGCCTATCTCTGGAAGAAAAATGTTATAGCAATGTCATTTGCCCCTAGAGACTCACACGAGGCTCAAGTTCAGTTTGCCCTTGAAAGGGGTGTCCCGGCTGTAATTGGTGTGCTTGGGACCATCAAGATGCCATACCCCTCCCGTGCATTTGATATGGCTCATTGTTCTCGTTGTCTGATTCCATGGGGAGCTGCTGGTAACTTTTGTACAATCGTACCCAAATAGATAAAGACTTATGTATTTCAGTTTTAGTTCCTTGTTTGAGCTATGATCCTTTTTTCAAAACGTCCCTTAAGTCTATATTTGGATCCAGGTGAATACAAATAAATAAAAGTTTAGCATTTATTTAGGTTGCTTACTTTTATATGATAGACATTATTAAATAAATTAGTATCAGGATTTCTAAAAAAGTTCATTGTGTTTTAGCCTAGATTTTATTTCCCCCAAATATTCATTTAGATTTTCTGTAGTTTATTGTTCCTATTTTGTGTTAGTATTTTGGGGTCCAAACAGGGGCAGGTACCGAAAATGGAAGGGAAAGTAAGCAGGGAGAAAACTAGATGTGAAATTTGGAAATAGAAAAATTGAGGGGAAATTGTTTTCGGTTCAAACTAAGTAATTCATTTTAGGATGTATGTTCTTACTCATTTTGTTTGTAGATCCCTATTACATATAGATTAATAAACCTAAAGATATGCTACATTTAAAAAATTCTGATCAAATCAGGTGTTCTCTCATAATTTCCATGCTAAAACCGAAGTAAAAACACTATTTTGTAAGAATTTTTTCCTTCCCCACTTTTTTCCTGCTTCCAAACATATCCAAAAAAATAAGGGAAAATGCTCTACTTTTTAAGTACACAAAACATATTTTATATTCATTTTGTGCAGCAATTTGACTTTTTTATTGCTCTTCCCTGCTCTCAGATGGAATATTAATGATGGAAGTTGATAGAGTTCTTAGACCTGGAGGCTACTGGGTGCTTTCTGGGCCTCCTATCAACTGGAAGGCTAACTACAGAGCTTGGCAACGCCCTAAAGATGAACTTCAAGAAGAACAGAGGAAAATTGAAGAGGTTGCTAAACTTCTATGCTGGGAGAAGAAGTCTGAAAAGGGTGAAATTGCAGTTTGGCAGAAGAGGATGGATGCAGAATCGTGCCGTGCATCACAAGAGGATTTGACAGCTACTTTTTGTAAATCTACAAATCCGGATGATGTGTGGTATGTCTCTGGAACTTTTGCTCCATTCGGTACACCGGAACTACTTTTCCCTTTCCGATTCATTTTAAAATTATAGAATTTGTAGGGTCCATTTTGAACTCGTAAAATGCTGGGGGGGGGGGAGATAAGGGAGAAATTAGAAAGAAAAAACGGAAGGAAAGTAAACTTGGGATTTTTATCTATAAAATAGCAATTGAAGGATACACACAGTCGCTATAAATTTGATTTAAATATTTTTCAAATTCATTTTTATCTATATATTTCGATTATTCAATGACCAAGAAATAAAAATGAAATAAAATAAAATAAAATGCCAAACATATAAACGTAAATTCCTAAGCATTCTTGCCCTTTCTTTAGCATTTTCCGTGATTCAAACACACCATTAACGTGTGTAAAATGGAATAAATAGATGGGCATGACTTTCCTATCCAGTGTGTATGGAGAGAAAATTTGGATACCATGGGACAATATCACCCTATGGCCCCGGAGATTTGTCATTGTACTATGGCATTTTGATCTTAAACTCATTATTTCTCCTTTTCCTAGTGATTTCATGCTTATCTTCCAAGCACTGGAACTAAATAAGACCTTATCCTTTTTCATGAGATTAAAAAACCATTTCCCCTGTCATTCTTTCCGCTTACCAAATATGGCGTTATAATCTTTTAGCTAATACTTGATCAAACATTGATTGATTTGTAGCACCTCCCAAGGGAAAAGGGGAAGGATAAGTAAATGGTGAAGGCATTGTAAATTCATTGAATTAACATTAACATTTATTTACTTATACAGGTACAAGAAGATGGAGACATGCATTACTCCATCACCTGATGCTAACATAGACGAGAAGCTGAAGCCATTCCCTGAGAGACTGAATTCAGTTCCCCCAAGAATCGCTAGTGGACTGGTTTCAGGTGTGTCAGTAGAGGAATATAAAGAAGACAACAGAAGGTGGAAGAAACATGTGAGTGCGTACAAAAGAATAAACAAAATCCTAGATTCAGGAAGGTATCGCAATATAATGGATATGAATGCTGGATTGGGAGGATTTGGTGCAGAGCTTACATCTCCCAAGATGTGGGTTATGAATGTCGTGCCCACTATAGCCGAGAAAAACACTTTGGGTGTTATATATGAACGTGGAATGATTGGTATCTACCATGACTGGTATGATCCTCTCCTATTTGTCTTCAATAAATTAAAGTCTCTTTGAGTTGAATCAGTTGATTCATCATGTGATTCATATCATTATAAGGTTCAGGGTAGAGTAATCCAACCTGTTATGATTTGTTCCGGTTTTGGCAAATTGGGTTCAGCTTTTGCAATTTTGCCAATCCTTTATGATGCATTCCTATTAAGGCCAATCCTTTGGAAATTGTTAATTTAGCCATGATTTATTAGATTCGTTGCGGTTATGGTCAACTCTTTAAAGCTGGTCTAAGCTATATCAAACGACACACATGACTATATGTTCGCGCTGAACCCTGGGACTTTTCCAAAAGTAAACTTTGGATGCACTTTGTAGTAAACTAAATGTAATTTAACAAAAAGATCTGAAGGGGTGTGATAAATGTGTAATTTATCTTACCTGTTTTTTTAGAAGTTAAAATGTTTCCATTTTTTGTTGGGCTGCTGCATTCTAGCTCTATGTTTCAACAAACAAAGCTAATTTTTAATGTAAACCGAAAAATATACAAGATGAATGATTTAGAAGCACTGTTTCTTGTCATAATATCAGAATTCTACTTTGATATCAAAAGATGACTCTTTCCATAGTATTTCATTCTTAGATTTTTTGTTGAAGCGGTTGTCATACACTTCTTCAGGTGCGAAGCCTTCTCCACGTATCCGAGGACTTACGATCTCATTCATGCGAATGGAGTCTTCAGCTTATACAAAGATGTGTAAGTATTCCTCTCCTTTAGACACAAATGATCAGTCTATTCAAAATGATCTTGGATCATCCCAAAGATATTCTTGGGCCCAGCCTGCACCCCATTTTGTGCCTTTTAAAAATTAATAAATTAAAACACTGGTTTTAATAAATATCTGAAAATGATACACAGGTGTGATTTTGAAGACATTCTGTTGGAGATGGACAGGATTGTACGTCCAGAAGGGGCAGTTATTATCAGGGACGAAGTAGATGTTCTGGTAAAAGTGAAGAAGATAATCGGCGGCATGCGGTGGGACTTTAAATTGGTAGACCACGAAGACGGTCCTCTCGTTCCTGAGAAAATACTAGTTGCAGTCAAACAGTATTGGACCGTGGCTGAGAGCAACACTACGTCCACACGAAGACAATGAGGATTCCAAATATATCTTTTTAATTATGAATGCAAGTTCATATGAGAATACAACATTCATTTCCACAGCAGGATTTATGCTCCAGAAGAGATTCTGACTATCAGGAGTAGGCTCTGTGCTCTTTTTAATCACCGATGAAGTTAGTTTTGTAACATTATTGTTATTTTTTACTATTATTATATGTTCTCTTTTTCGTTCATGTCAAACAATGCATGATAAAAGATTTTAGCATTGTTTCAAAAACAGAATATTTGATTCTGCTATTTTCTTTACTAAAAAGATTGTCCCAATCTTGAGGAGCCCACCACCCTTAAAAGTCGTAGGGAGGAGATAAATCAGAGAGCAATGTTAGTGAATCTGTCCAATGTTTGTACTCACCCTCTTATGCTCACCTTTGTGTGAGGCTTATTTTTGTTAATGAATAGGATTCACGGGCAAAACAGACATGTTTTTGTCTATAAAAATATTTTACAAACAAAAACATGACTATTTTGTCAGACATGTTTTTTTCTAAGATTTTTTTTACAAATAAAACATGACTATTTTTTCATGGAGGTGGGTATAAGCATAGTTAGTTAAATACGGTACGGGAATTAAATGAGGTTTAACAAGTACGCGTTTTATTCGGTAACATGAATGAAGAAACAGTCAAATATTCGTTGAAAAAAACGTTGACTTTTAAAAAACGTATAAATAAGTATACGTGTAGAATATGATATCTATTTAAAAAATTCTGACAAAAAATATGGGGTATTAATTTGAACATTTAAATTATATACTTCACATAATAACATATATAGTAAAAAGAAATAAAAGTATACACATATTCAAGTAGCAAATCCTATTATTACTACATAAAAGAATAATTCATAATTGCATAAGTCTATCATAAAAATAAAAATAGTAATAAGTCCAAGACATAGTTTTGCAAAATTATATCAAAAAATAAGGTATAATGATAATTGAATGAGACTAAACTAAAATCATTATCTTTATATGATCATAATAAACATTCAAGTTAAACTCAACATTTTCATCTTATGAGAAAAGTTATGTGATTGCTAAGCTTATTACTGTTTATGTGTAAAAGTTTATACCAAAAAAATGTCAGGTTTAGAAAAACCTTAATTTGATATGCTTGTTTGAAAAAACATCATAAATTTAGTTGTATTTTGAATTTTAGACTTTTAGGATGCTAGCTTTAGCTGTAATGCAATTAATTTTACTATTTAATAATTATATTGTAACAATACAAATACATGGGGTCGTAGGAAGGAGGTTTTCCTTTTTTTGCTTTTAAACTATTGTTGATCTCCTATACATTTAATACATTCATTCAATTGATCAATTCATTTTTCTATTTTTTATAAAATACGGGAAAAATACGTTTTGTACGGGAAGCACAAGTTTTTTCCCTTTTTAAACGGACCGACATTATTTTCCGTTTTAAACGTGTTTTTTACTCAAAAAACTGTATGTGTTTAAAATGCGTTTAAAACACGAAAAAGCTAACTAGGGGTATAAGAGTGGTACAAGTAGTAAAGTTGAATGAAGTATACCACTATGTCTAAAATTAAAGTTCACCCAATTAGGCCAATGAGTGAGGTATGTGTCCCAATTAGGGATGGATTGGGACGGGATCAGGTTGGGATTCAGGATGGGATTGGGCGGGCTTCGGGCCTAATGATTTTCGGCCTGATATCAACTTGTATTTAATTCTGAAAGAGGTCACTTGAGATTTGCTTCTCTAGGGTACCTAAAATTCCAAGGGTGTGAAATCCTAATAATAAACTAGCCCATCATAAATGAGATACTCCCTCCGTCCCGGAATTATCTTCATTCTTTCCTTTTCGGTCCGTCCCAAATTTATCTCATCTTTCCTTTTTTGATAAAGAATTTGTGGTTCACAATCATTCTTACACATTTCTCTTTCCTCTGCACAACTCTCCACCACACATTTCCCATTATCTTAAAACCTGTGCCCAGTCAAATAAGGAGATAATTCTGGGACGGAGGTAGTATGAAATATGATCGCTTCTTTATGATTCGTTCCAATATGTTCTTTTAGTTTAGCTCGAGATTATAATCTCTAATTAAAAAAATAGCTCCCCGAAAAAATGCTCCCTTTTTTTTAAGCGGACCTTTATGAACTTACTTTATGCTGTTTTGGCCCTTTTTATTCTTGAGAAAGCCATGGACATCCGTGTGTTCTTATCACCAGCTTTTTGGCTCCCCAAACAGCTTATGGTTCAACCACATCACTATGTAAATATGGTACTCCCTCCATCCCATAAAATTCTTCCACTTTGACTTGGCACATAGATTAAAAAAGTGGAATAAAGTGGAATAAAGTGGAAATGTGTTGTTGTAGTTGTGTAAGAAAAAAGTGAAATGAATGTGAACCACACAAATTGTACAAAAATGGTAAGTGGGAAATTTTTTAAGACGGCCCAAAAAGGAAAGCGGGAAGAATTTAATGGGACGGAGGGAGTATTTTATAATTATTACGGAGTATATAGTATTATTATAGATTATATTAGTTTAATACAAACATTGCTCAAATGTAAATAAAGAATATCAATTCTATTACTTTGAGACATAGTTTAGTATCTATTATGTAGTACACCCTCCGTCTCATTTAAATCTTTACACTTTCCTTTTTGGACGTCCCATTTAATCCCTTATGTTTCCTTTTTAGGTAACTCCTTTTACATTAAATGTCCTAACTACTCATCACTACTCACTCACATTTTACATTTGAGTGAATAACATTAATTCCATCCAAAAGTCAGAGCATGTGTTCTATTAATTGAGCTGCTAAAATACTGTGTCAAAAGAAAGCGTAAGTTCTTTATTATTATTATTATTATTATTATTTTGACAATATTATTATTATTATTACTATTATTTATTTATTTATATTCAAAATCTACCCACACGTACGTACGATAATTAACACGAATATGGTGAAAGGGGATTGATTCTTGCGGACAGATATTAGAGATAAAATCTAAACACACATGGTGGATGCAATGGGAGTGTCCGACATGATTGCATGTGAATAGAACACAAGCCATTTAAAATGGGTAAATGTGGTCATTTAATCTTATGCCTACCCAGATTTTGATGAATTCTACAAGTCAATGATATGGGCCAAATCAATTGAATGAGATCTGTCTATGGTGGGGGCAAATTATTCGTATACATTTATTATTATGGTTCCCTACTGTCTAAGTTATAACAATACGTATCCTAGCTCTAAAAAAACGTCTCTTGGTGGCCAGGCAAAACAGCAAAGCTGGTCACACGCAGGGTTTGGTTGCTATAAGTTCATTCTACCCCTTTTAAAATATACACTTGAGCTCCCAAACCTTTTCAAAAATTAATATGATAATAATATCCCATAATTATTGTTGCGTATGAGAAACATTTTTTACTCATGGGGTTTTCGTGTGTGACATATTTCACTAATGGTTATGAGAGATAAATTAAAGCGACTGCGTGATAATATTTGACTGCTCATCGATAAAATTTTAAGTGTATTGTAGAGAGAAAGAAGAACTAATTAAGAGTTAGAGGAAACATATTTGATAATAAATAAGTTGAGAAACGCTTAACTTACATGATAGGAGTATTAACTCCTAGAGAGAAGTGAGAGCTAGAGAGAGAAGTGCAGTAAATGCTTTGTAGTAATGATTTGTGACCCCCTACAACTATTCCCAAGGGGAGTATTTATAGAGGAAATTAGGGCTGAACTCCCAAGTCTTGGGCTTGGAAGACCCATTTACAATTGGGCCACTAATGGACTGAGTACAAGATATGTAGAAATGACTAAGTGCAAAATTCGGTTCTGGGAACCTTTTGTGGCCGACGCGGCCATGGCCGACGGAGACCCGGCCGACGGGGACACCCGGTTCTCCTGGCTTTTGGACCATGTTCTGAGTTGATATCTTTCTGGCCGATGGGGGGCCATCTGGCCGACGGAGGCCCCACTAGGTGACAGCTGTGCCTCTTATTCTTCTGAGCATGTGGGTCCTGGGGTCCAGGCCCATATACTCCATCAGGAGTCCCCCACTCTCTGAGCTGAGATGTAGATGAAGTGGGGGAGAGTAGATTCCATGGTTTTGACGTTTTCTGGCCGTTTTGGGACCGCTATGGGGGTTTTCCCTGTTTTGGCCGTTATGGGCTCCCCTTGCTCTGGTTCTTTGTTTTACTCCGTTACGGGCACTCTACATTCTGGCCATTGTGTGGCCTTCACTATGGACGAAGAGGGCTGATGTTCCTTTGATGGGGTAAGATTGTTTGAGGACGACGAGTGTCCTGCCTCAGTGGCCGATATGAGCTCTTGATTTGAATAACCGATGCGGGTGCTTTCGTTTTCGGTCATCAACGATTGCCTTTGATGGATGGGCTGAGGAGGCCTCGCGATTGCTTTGTGCTTTAGGCCGGAGCGGTGGTATCCGTAGCTTGGTGTCCATGCTCTTGAGGACGATAGCAACACTGATCCGGAAGGAGTAGTGCGTATCCTGATCTCATGGACGATGGTGATCTGAGGACGTTGAGTTCCTGTTTTAATGTCCTGGCCGAGAGTGGAGTATGTGGTCTCAAAGCCGTTGAGTGGCCTGTGATCTCAGGTGTTGCATCTTTGGAGGGAATTCTTTGTTTGCTGACTTTGCTGCGGCCGACGGTGCACCACAAGGTCATGGACGCTGTGGTGCATATATGATCTGATGTTGTAGTTGTGGACTTAGTATATTTTTGGGTTTCTTTGATTTTGTCCTCTTGTATTCCAGAGGCCGGTGTAGTCCCCCAGTCCCCCACTGCTTTAGGCCGAAGAGTGAGCGAGGGGTGAAGGAGTAAGGCGTAACCCTAGGCCGAAGTGGGATTCTTGTATTCCCCTGAATCCAACCCCTTGGCGATTTCCTGACCAAGGTAACCCTGTGGGAGAACCCTTACGAGGCTGATGGCTGTGGAGTTGTTTTTTGCTTTGCTGTTGTGGCCGTTGAAGGGGCCATGCTATTGGTATTCTGTTTGGGCCGATATGGGCACACTTTGTGGTGTGACCTACCGTTTTGAAATCATTTTTGCGTTGAGGCCGATGTAGGCGTGCTTTCTAAGTGTGGCCGCTGAGTGGTTGGCCGTTATGGATGCTGATTACTGTCACGTTGGCGATGGGTTGGTACTGATGGAAGTGGGCATGACCCGCCTTTTGAACCGGTGCCAACCATATGGGCCTTGGGGGTGGTGGCCGTTCATGTGGCCAACGGATGTGTGCCACGTGTAGTGACCGTTGGGGGGGGGGGGTCTATAAATACCCCCATCCCTCCGAAGAAGCTCCCCATTGCATTCTTGAGATAATGAAGTGCTGCCCAATTCTAGAGAGATAAAGGCTGTTCGAGTCTTCTTGAAAACTTCAAACATTCAAAGGCGAGTT